TGTTTTCGCATGCATTCCACCAGCGCGGAACAGAGCCTGTCTTTTGTACGCATCTAATCGCATAGATTCAAGGACCGGTACCGTAGGTTTGAACTCTGCTCTGCAATGATATTGTGTTTGACTCATTTCATACACAACAACCAAATCCGTAGTGGCTTCGGTCCAAATGCTTTGATGTGCGAGAAAATTGGGGAGGGTGCAATGACGGCTTCTGATTGATGGTTTCGTCGCTTTCACCAACCAACGGCACTCCAAGCACCATAAACCGAACATTTCCATCATCAAGCACTTGTGCAAAATAAACATTGGCTGACCGTGGCCTATCCCGCATAACTGTCATCTTGTCGAGTACATGGTCGATTCCTCCTCTGGCGCTCACGAGAGCTTCGCTGAGTTGCTGTCTCGTCAAACCCGGAACTTTGACATCTAGCTGCATTGCTGTGAATCCTCTCGATGAACCTCAAAACATCTCCGTCAGCTCCAATGAACGAAACAGATATACTAGGATTGTCCTGTTCCAAAGCCTCATGGTGATATGAATATTTGTACTCTCTGAGGCTCCATATTTATTGCCAAAAACATACACTTTTCGGATTCTTTTTTGAAGGACTTTGCATTCTGTTTCTGGCAATGAATTTTTGGGGCCTCAAAGACCACAAATATTCAAAAACAAAAGTTATAGTTACTACCAGCGATTTTAAAATCCATATCACCAGCGTAGTCCTCAATACCCAAGATATCAGTCAACACTTTGTGAGGCTTCTCCGTTCTGAAGGAGTGCAAGATAAATCATTCGACTAGAAAATAATGCTGAGAAACTCACTCTTTATCTGTAATTAATCCTACAGCCACCCCAGCCACTGGAGCCGAGAGAGGTACACCGGCGTCTAATAAGGCAAGACTTCCACCGCAGACGGACGCCATCGATGAAGACCCGTTAGATTCTAAAACCTGAAAGAATAGAGAGTCTACAACGTAATTGTTTCCGGCTAACTTTACAAACTGTTTACAAAAACTTACGAGGCGGTCGTGCAATAAACAAAAGAGTAACTAGCCACACTTCAAAGAAACATCAAGCACAAGAAATGAACCTGCCTGACATGCGAGACGTATACTGTATGGAAAGTCCTTAGGGACCACATGTTTGAGCGCCTTTTCAGCTAATGCCCCGTGTCCCAGCTCTCTTCTATTAGACCCTCGAAAAGTCTGGAAACAATCAAATATCAGAAGAGCTGAAGGAGTGCAAAGCTCAAAATATTCCAGTCAAGCATTACGCCACATCGAGACAACTCACAGCGATTTCGTTTGTTGCATAGCTAGGAAACTCGTAGTGAAGCATGAACATCTTCTTTCGTTGTCCACCAAGAATCTGCGATATTGAGTCCGAATGAAACGCAGCTGCTGGACTGTCGAAAGTAACCGTAGACATCACCTAAAAGGAAGATCATAAATTTGTCGTGAAAAAAATGAACTCTGCAAAATTAAATATCTGGCCAGGTTTTCTGACCAAATGCGACTCATCGCAATCAGAGCGGCGTTGCATAACTCTTATTAGTTCTATCAACAAAATTTCTGCGAATCGTAGTTCGCAATTCGCTAAGTAAAGATCAAATCGAAAGCAACAACCCAGGATCAAGTTGGTGGCGTAAAAGCGTTTGATAATAAAGTCGTAGGTGCGGGGATGAGTGAAAAGATAGAGCAAAAGAAATCGCGGATAAAGCCCTTAATGAGAACCCCTCTCTTTCGCCTTGATCAGGAAGAAGCTTATCCGGACGAGTTTGCTGACTCCATGCAAACCACAAATCCGCGCGTATTTGAATTAGCCACTACGTCGTAATCCCGTTGTTGCGTGTAAGGGAGCGCGCGCGAGGAGTCCCGTCCATTAGCTCGCATTTGCTTCACATTGCGAAGCTTTAGCGCTTACGCATTTCTAGGCCATGAAAACGGCACATCTGTAATCCTTGTTGGAACTATCCTACCTATAGAATGGATTAGTCTACATGAACTCATCTTGGGTTGCTGCTTTGAAGTGGTGAATCAACTTTGATCAAAGTACTATAATAAAAGACATAAACGGATCGTGCTCCTAACCAGTAACTCTGCATGGGAAATCTGCAGTCCTAGCACTGCAAAGGGATTCGGGCAGTGCAGTTGGCGAATCTGCCGTCAACAAAATTAGATACCTGAGTTTGACCCCTCTGAA